CATTTAAGTATATTATGATCTTTAATTCGACACTTACCTAGTTGTCTATTATTTCCTAAAGATTTTAAAAGATCCGGTGATATTTGCTTCGAGAACATATTTCCTGCGAGGGAAAACACAATAAATGATAATAACAAGAGCACTCAGTAGAGAGCAATATATCCGTCCACCGCAAATCCCGTTCTTTAAAATAAATCTCTCAAAATATGTTCCTAATTTACTTAAGCCACCACCACCCCCACCCAACTCACTTTATGTTGCTAATTTACTAAAGCCACCACCACCCGACTCACTTCTCTTCGCTCCTCTTCTAAAACACAAAGTAACACTTTTTATTTCAAAGAGGGGCACTACTTCCACTTCCATCCAGGATCTTTTTTAGAGTGGGCATTTTTTGATTTTGTAATCCGAAATGCTTTGCTAAAAGACACAAAAAATCCACCCCACACTCAAAAGTTTCATCAAAAACGATGACATACATTTAAAAAATACAAAAAAAGTCTTGAACATAGTAAAGACAAAGAAATACAAAAATCACAGAGCCAAGCAATGACCAGTCAGGAATTGGGGGAAAGGGACGATAATGTAAATTAGTTAGACGGCAAAGAGCTGGAAAGCACTGAATTTCTTAATCTTTTAGTTCTACAAAAATTCACTTCGATCAGTGTTCCTAAGTATTCTGCCGAAAGCTTCTCCACTATTTCATTCAGATCAGTTGATTAGTTTTTGAAATATCTGGTCTAGGACGTTTTCCTTTAAATGGTCCTCGTATCCACACCCACGCCGGACCCTCACCACAATTTTAATCGTTTCTTCATTGGGTCATACCTCGCACTTCCTGTAACTTTCATTTAGCTGTTTTTGAGATATTTCGAACACAAACACACTCCCACATGAAAACGTGGCACACACACACAAATTAGTTGTTGTTGACTTAGCTATTTTTGTTGTTGCTGTTGTCATTGTTATTATTATTATCGACTGTTATGTACTTTGGTTACTTACTTTCAGCCATTGTACTTGCTCTCTCCGATTCGTGAAACGTAACACCACCCTGATCAAGCTCAACATCAGCGCCCTCATTGGCAGTTATAACGTAACCTTCGCCATTGTTCTCAAAGTATGCCAATCCGTCTGGTTGATACAAACTGTAGATAGGATACTTCCTCATTTTCGTACCTAATTGATTAAAAGAAAATATTCGTAAAAGTTATCCATTATTATTAAAATACATATAATATATATATACTAACTTACTTATAGATGTGATTCTCCAATTCTACATAATCGGAGTGGAGCCGAAAACCTAGCACTTAACAGAATACTTAGGTGTTCGTTTAGTGTTTCTTCCGATTGTGTAGTGACTTTGGCTTGCCTAATTTCTATTTTTAAATTACGGGACTTCTTAAACCAGGGGTCACAATAGTACCGCCTGTTGGAGCAGTAAACAACATATTTTATGTATTAGTGATGTATTCGGCCCTCTGCAAATATGATAGCTATATCGGCCTTACTGACTGTATGTACCGTATGTATTCATAGCATAATTTACTTATAGAGATGAACAATACAAATTCACACAGTATGATGTATTGTATACCTAAAACATATAAAATTATTGAAGAGTATATTTTTGACAAACTTTGGCGATAGTTTATTTGGGCACGAATAAAAATCGATCTATATTGGCGTCGAATAATATCATCCTTATTATTAATATTCGGCCTCTCTGACCAAGAAGTTACAAACTCTGAGTATAATCCAACATCATGTAAAACAATAATTGGGTTGCCATCCCCTCTCTTGGGAAGAACAACATAAAAATAGTTGGGTTTTTTTTTTAAAGTATTAAACAGTGTATAATGTTACCTCCGTCTCCGCTACTGGCGTCCAACCTCAAATTAGCCCATTGTTTAGCACCAAGCGAAAACACACTTTCGAGTGTTTTAGTCGCCATATCGATGGTTAAAACCGCATTATTTTCCTTAAGAAGAAGTATGTATCGAATATGTTAATACAACAATTACATACTATATACAATTACTACCAAATTAATGGTACATTAAGTGCTATGCACCAGCGTGACTTGATTTTTGCAGATTATTCGCAGTTTTTTTCATCATCAATATTACCGGCTTTCATTCCCTTATTACATTCTGGATTGCATCCATTTAGAAGTTATAGGAAAGCTTCCAGTTTAATATAAAGCTATAATGCAGTAGGATCCTTTTCTTGTCATAATTTTATTTGAGAAAATAATTCTTTGTGCTTTAATGTATATTCAATTTGTGACCGTAAGAAGTTGGATATAATATCTGTTCCTGAACTGTGAATGCTGTGCATTAGTTTATATTTTTTATAAATTAAGAAAGTAATGTTGAACACAAAATTTAGCAGAGAATTATACAACATAAGAACCTCCGGCTTACCTGCAAAGTTACGTAGAGTTTTGTTTCGTCATTGTTAAAAGCGATTGATTCCGGTTCAAGGTTCATAGACAGGGAGGATGGAGCGTATGGCTTGCGGATTCCATATTGGATGTATTCAAATTCTCTGAGAGCAAACAGTTAAATGTTATAAATTATTAAAATGTTAATAATAATAGCAATAATTTTAATAATATTAATAATAGGCCTAATTTAACTTGTTCGGAAAACAGTTGGAACACCTTTAGCTATACTAAAAGAAAAACAACCTGTGTACCGTAAACTGGGGTAACATTGGCATGCAGGGTAACTTTGGCAGTTCACTACCTGCAAACTTTGTCGGCTCGTTCGGAGGATTTCTATTTATCTGATTGGAGAATGGTTGTTACCAACTTGTTCAGAAATAAATAATTTCATTATATCAAGCTTGATTTTTTTTTTAAAACAATATGTTTTTATAAAAATATAAGAAAGACTTTAGGGGCGTGGCCTAATTTTAAGGGTCATTTTAAAAAATTGCGAATAAATAGAAAAAAAATAAAATCGAAGACAGGCCATATGGTAACGCCCTCTAGTTGTGTCAAATGTAAAGAAAATCGTGTACAAAAGCCAGATTAAAAGGCAAAATACTGAAAAACAACAATGCTGTGGGAAACAAAAACAGGATCTCAATAGAGATACAAAAATGATAAGCAACAGCTAAAAAGTAAACGTAAGTAAACAGCCAGAAATAGAACCAGAGCTTTCGGACAACACTAGTCCTTCCTCAATGGCGAGTGAGTGAGGGTTGAAAAAGCTAGATGTATATACAATATAAAATATACATATAAAACGTAATATGTGATCCACATATTCCCTAGATATCTCAATATTAACGACAATGAGATGGCAACGACTTAAAATGTGTGTGGTAATGGTGGTGGATGTGTGTGTAATCTTCATCGAGAGTGCTCTTAGATAGAAGCAAAAAAAATACGCATTTGTTAAAAATATGGGAGAGTACAATACTTGCAGAAACATTAAACTCGCCGAAAATTGTTTACATACAATTTAAAAGAAGTCGTGAGCATTTTTTTTTTTGTGCAGACTGTATATTTTTACAAATAATTTTGTATTATTAACGTTAATCATTAACATTTAGGCCTACACATTAAACAGTATTCTTTACAATTACATGGCCTATGATTCACGTATTTCCGGTGAGTCAGTGTCAGCCTCCTTGCAAAGAATTACAAATTTTTGGATTTTCTCCAAAATTCAGTTTAACAAATTGATAGCATGCTTCTGAATGTAAAATTCAATCCTATTATTTTCGTTCAAGGTGATAAGTACTGATGATGTAAAATAAATTGTGTATGTTGGAGATTAGGTGTACGGTGTTAAAATTCACAATAGGCCTATTAAAATAGTCTCCATATTATTAAATTACTGTAATTGCCAAGATTAGAAGCAATAAGTAAGCCCTTATGTGTTATTCTTATGCAAGTTATGCATTCCGTGTTGTTCTAATCGGTGACTTTTTTTCCCAGTGTGAACACAGCAAACTCACGTTATTGTAACATCCGTAAACGTTGTGAACGTTGTTTAAGTCATGTCAGAATATATTGTAACGTTAACAAAATTTTGCAGCAACAATCTGAAGCTAAGTTATAAATACGTGTTTATGGTTCTACTGAAAAAAAAATCGTTTTAAATACAAAGTGCAACGTTATAAAGCTCTGTACAGATAAGTTTTCTTAGACAAAAATTGTCGCATGCTCATATAGGCTATCATATATGATGTGCCTATAATATATGGGCATGATGTGATACCATCATGACCATATTTAGACATGTCACATGGCTTTTTTTCAAATAAAATGTTATAGTTAGCACAGGGCTTTATAACATAAAACGGCATAGGACACTGGGATGTTCGTTAACATAGAAACATTATTATCTATTGAACTCATACATGCAATAATGACATAGTTGTAGCTTGTGAAGGAAAATCCGGAAAATTGTCTGCTAAGCTTCTCCTGAGATGGTAGACTATGTACGTTATATTAAAGATCGAAATGGCAAATAAATATTCAATGCTTGCGATCACACCACGTAAATAGTTCTATCTCGACGTTCCGAAATGATTGCTCTGTCGTCCTCGAAATAACATGTAGTGAGAGTCTGTTACCATGTTCATTTCATCAATATTCTGTGAGGATGGTCCATCAGCCGGAGTTAATTATTAGGGACCCTCAATTCAAAAACAAAAAAACAAAGGAAATCAAATAGATTATCTAAATAATTTAAAGAATTAGCCAAAGAAAAAACGAAAAATATAAAAGGAATACAAATAGAAAATAATAATAAATAAATGAATAAACAAAGAAATAAGTTCATAATCATATATATGTATATTTAAAATGAAATTAAATTGACTAATAATTAATTAATAAGAAAGGAAAGGGGATAATTGTGAGTTATTAAAGATAAAGTAAAATATAACACAGTTTGACAAATTAAAAGAACACAAACAGAAAAAATTAAAATGAAACACAATGTGTTCTGGCCAACCTGAAGGGCGACATGAGAAAGAAATTAAACTAGGGAAGAGGGATAGCTTTGGAGGATAGATTCAAAGAATGAGAAAATTGTAGCATTTTTTTTAGTTAGTAGAAAAAGCAAATAAAAATAAGAGGGGCATTAAGACTGCAGGAAAGTTCTAAGCAGGACCTAGGAATATGAAGGTCAATTTCAGTGATCTGGTGAGTATACATGCGGCCATTTTAATGATTTTAGTGATGGATGGCATCTTATGGTGACAGGTTCTCTTCAATTCTTGTTATGAAGGCAAATTATTTAAACATAATTATTCTCAACACCTATCAGACAATTTCAGAACTACTTGCCTGGTGTACCGGATTAACCTACATCCTCATCATTTTTACCTTTGATTGTGTGGATCCGATCCAGAGAGTGCGTGGTAGGATTATATACCTTGAATATCTTCAGGAATCCGTCCAACGCGGGGAAATCCTTATGTTCTTGTATCATTGCAAAGTAGTTACCGCATATTGCAATGTCTTCCACATTCTGAGTCAATCGGTGTTTGTGGATGATAATTGGTTTAGTTGGCTTAGATACATCAACAATGTGAAGGTATCGAGAACCTACAAGAATATATGTTATATATGAAACAAATTCAAAACCAGTCATAATAATGAATTACAAATTACAATACTCGAATTTTTCAACAGAGTCATTTAACAAGCCCCAGAAATACCAGAATATTGTTTCTCTGGTTTTATGTTGGCCTATAACAATAAAAGTACTATAAAATACTGTATATAAAAATATTCATATTGATGATGATAATAATAGGCCTAATAATGATGACGATGATACACCTAATATGTTTTACTATTATCATTATCATTATAAACGCTATCAACATCATCATTGTCTATATCATTACACATCATTACTCATCATTATTATTGTTATTATTATTATTATTATTATATTATTATTATTATTATTATTATTATTATTATTATTATTATTATTATTACTATTACTATTATTACAACTAGGCCTACTTCTACTATTATTAGGCCTATATTGATTATTTAATATATTTAATTGTTTATTCATCAATATACAAAAACCTATGCATTTTTAGGAATTCCTTACCTGCTGTGTAGATGAGTTTATTGCGGACATCGTAAGCAGTTTCCTCGACAGCGTTACGGTTGAAGTCGTACACACCCTTCCCTTTGGCATAATCGTAGGGCATATATAAAGAGGATACTGAACTTAAACCGATTACTGCTTCACTAACGTACACACAACCATAAATGTAGAGAATTCCTATAAGAATCATAGTTTTACAGTTGAAGTAGGAAATAATCAAGTTTTACCGATCTGTTGTTAGAGTAGTGTCAGTGTAGTAGTAAGATTTAAATGTATGATTTGAATAGCCTAATCAGAACTTCCTATTACTCAGAAACTATTTTTCGGTGTATGACGATTCATTATAAGCCTCACACTTGCACTAAGTATCTTCTTTCCAGGGGTTAGCACCAGTGGCAACAGGAAGAAAAGTATTAAAATCGTAGGGGAAAAAATAATATGTATTTTTGCATAATGTTAGACATTAATATGTAGATTAAATAAGATTGTTTTAAGTACCTAAATTATCATAATTTTCCGGGCCTTCCCTGCAACCCCTAACTAATATATAGAAGTGGTTGGCGCACTGGTGGTGACTTGGATTCCAACTTTGAGGTCGGGGGTTAGAAATTCTTGCTTTGCAAGTCGCTTGTGTCCTTGTGCAAGGAACTTTTTGTCTAATTTGTCTCTCTCTACCGAGGAGTATAAATGAGCACCTGGTAGGATGCTGTGGCATTGACTGTACTAGTTTGGTGTTCTGACTCTGAGTGCCCGATTTTCGATTCTTGTGTTTATATGATAGTATTTTCTCTTGTATTATCCATCGTTTCCATATGTATTCCTACTTTTTATGTCGATACCGTGTAAATGGTATAGGCTTACACCAAAATAATGTAACTATGAAGCCCCTTTCCTTAAATTGCCCCAGATGACATTTAAACTTGGTAAACATTAATCAGGGGCGGATCCAGAAATGTCCAAAAGGGGGGGCCGGAAGGGGGGCCGAAAGTTGGGCCGATTGAGACAACACTGTCGTAGGGGGTCCGGGGGCATGCCCCCGTGAAATTTTTGTGTTCTAGACGCCCGAACATAACATTTGAGGCATTCTTGGCCATCAGTTTTTCCTTTTTCTCTCTTTTTTTTTTCTTTTTTTTTCTTTTTTTACCTTCCAAAAGGGGGGGCCGGGGCCGGGCCGGCCCCCCCCTAAATCCGCCCCTGTTAATTTAACCAAGTGCGACAGCTTCTCCGTTATACAGAATGTGACAAGGTTTATTCAGAATACGGCAGGCTATGGAAGTGCTATATTTGAATACAAAGTGTGATTCCTAGTTTCACAGTATAGGCCTAAATACACATCAGACATACAAAGTGCGACAGTACAAACGTGCATTAAAGGCAGGGGTGGTGAAAACGGGGGAAAACAAAGAAAAAAATTATTTATCTACATATTAGTAGAATCTAAAATCGATTAAATAAGCTTTTGAAACCCTCCTAAATATTTATATATACCACTTTTCTCTCGTAGGGGACATTTCTCTTTCATTTAGCAAGGAAAATAAACTAAGACCTATCTATCAAGCTAACCTAACTTAACTACAACCTACCTATAGACCAACCTGAGTTATATGAGAGAGAAGGATGAAAAATTATACAAAATGAAAAAGAATCAATGTTGTATTGAGGAATGTATTGGAATGATACTGATTATTATTTTAACGTAGGCAAGGAGAAAACATGTTATTTCTTATATTACCTGTACTCGAATAAGATATGATAAGTTTAACTTTATTGCTAAAAAAAAATGTTTATGACACCGGAAAATATAACCTTTTATTAAATTAGTGTGTAGAATGTTCACCCCTGCAGTCGTAATGGAATAATCTTCCCAGGGCAGTTCCTAACCATGTGAAAATTCTGTGTGTGACCAAAACACTGTAAACAGCAGTGACATTTGGTTTGTTTTGATATTATTTAGCAATTCGTTTATTGATTGAGTTTTTGTTAGCTCAAAGTTGCTGAGGAAGGACAAGGCCTAAGGAAAAACAAGCAAGTTTTTCAGAAGTTATCAAGGAGGTATGGAGGTTTTTCTTCCAACGTTCATCAACACGACTAAGCCTAGGCTAGGGCCAGGCAGGCCTATCTATATACCTAGTCCTAGACCTACCTAGGCTAGGCCTTTATTTAGTTAGGATGGGTAGCCTTGTTGGCATAGGATAGATACTTTACTAGGCTAGGCCTATCTACAGGCCTAGGGCTAGTTTAAACCATGACTAGGTCATAGGCCTAGCTAGGACTTTTAATCTATGTCTCGGCATGTTATACATTTAACTTTGTTGCGATTTTTTCAGAGATACGTACAGTAGTTTAGACAGTACAACATAAACATAGCCTAGCCTAGGCCTATAGTTCTAGGCCCTAATAATTATACCAAGGACTAGAGGTATAACTCCTTGATTATAACATAGGCCTACATAAGCTTGTAGATCTAACCATAGAGCATGGCCTATAGACCTACTACTAGGTGGGTGTGTTCACAAATTTTTGATTATTTTATTAATTGTGGTTTTCATTGTAATATTTTTAAAACACTCAATGGTGCATATTAATAACAAATTTATTGATATTGTATTACACCTTTTTAATTAAATTGTAATATTAGTTGTTTATTAATTAATTTTATTTATTTATATTATTTATGTCCGTTGATATGTCCGAGACGAACTTGTTCTTAGAATTATTTTATCAGAACTTTAAAACTATTTTCTGCAAAGCAATGGTTCTATTTTTATATTTCATATCTCGCATTGTAGGCCTTCCCTTAGAAATAGAACTTCTAAACATTTCTTTTATGATGCAATTCTTGTATTTTCAATTTTATTTTTATTATTTAATTAACTTTTGACAATGTTTTAATGAATTTGTTGATGATTTTGTATATATATGCTAATTCATTCAAAATGGTATATTTATTCAAAATTCAAAATTCAAATTAAGACATAAAACATAGCAGCCAAAAGGCTGAATTGCGAATTATGTTAACAATTAAAACCATTAAAAAAATCAAACAGCAAGGATAAAAAAACAAGTACATCAAAAAGGAGAAAAATATTGCATAAGGATCGATATTCTATCCAATTCGTCATTATTATAATTATTGTTATTATTATTACTATTAATTTATTTAGTTATGAATACTAATATAAAAAAGATAAAAAAACATCATAACAAGTAGATCAAAAAAAGAGAAAAAAGGATTGCACAAAGATCGAAATTTGTCATTATTATTATAATTATTATAATTGTTATTATTATTATAGTTAAGAAAAGTAATACAAATCAAAAAGGACATCATAACAAAAACATCAAAAAGAGAAAAAAGATTGCACTAAGCTCAAAACATAATCATTATCATTACAATTAAGAATATTTTAATCAATATTATTGTCATTATTATTTATTATC